CGTATTTTCCTCTGAGTAAACATCGCCTTGTTGGCATCTGTGGGAGTCACACGTTTGGAATCACACCTTTGTGAGGGTGAAACCTTAACGGGCTCCCGGTTTTCTGTACGCACCCCTAAGCGGGCCGTTACAGAAATTAACTTGCTAGGAGGTCGCGTACGACCCTCAGTCTGGATGTTTGCTCGGGGTTCCTTCAACGGTCCCAAGCGTTCCTTAACAGGCACTTTGCCTCGATCTTCGGGTAGAGAACCGAGGCGATCCTTCAGAGGAATCCTGAACTTGGGGAAATCCACGCTGCGGTGGGGCTTTACCGGAGGTTCGGGATCTAAAGTTGACAAAATCTTGATGATAGTTCCGTTTGTTTTTTCCTTAGGCGCTAATTTGACTTTTGGCATCCAAACTTGTTTGGATCTCGGCGATCTCTTAACTGCCTCGTCCTTTTGCATTCTTGTGCTTTTCGCACAAGGGTCCGGGCATGCGCAAGCAAGGCGCGACGCTTCTGGATTCGCTCCTCGAGAGTAGAGCGGGTTCGTTTGACACAAACTCATTCGTTAATCGGAGGTCGGGAGGAGGATCCCGATGCTGGTCGTGGCGATAGATTAGCCACTTGGCGCTTTCTGAACTCCAGATCTGCTTGGTAACAAAGTCCATCCAACTGATCCAAAGTCTTGGCGAATTACCGTGCGAGGCGTTGGCGTTTCCTTTGACGTGCTCTCTTTGATAGAGTTGGCGTGCCTTCAGCAGTCGACTCCTTGATCGCGAAGGAATTCAGATCTGCAGATCTGGTCTCATTGGATGCCGACGGATCGTTGCAAGGTACAAATGTAGCAGCGACGGCGAGGAGATCGACTTCTTGGGTCTTCAGATCTGGAGACCAGCGGGTCTTATAGGAGGAGGAGATCTTCCTACGCTTACGAGGAGGAGCAGATCTGGAGGAGGAGGAGGAAATATATTCCTCGAATTTCTGCTAGTCGAATTCGTGTTCGATCTCTTCGAGCACCGGGATCTTGATCATCGGCTACGGTACGACAGCTTCGGCAGTGAAGCTGTTGGCTCCCACTGTGGTCGCCAGCTTGTTTGCGGTGAAAGTTGATTTCTTTATTGCTGAATCTATTACACGTTTATCGATTATAGATTCAAAGTAAAATTAGTCTTTTTATAAGACTTTCTTACACAATGAAAAAAACAAAAAAAAGTACAACTCTCTTCAAACAAACGCAACGGGTGTTTATCGCCCACTACTTGCGTGGGATCTTGGCTTGTGACGGGGATGTTGATATCCGTGGACCACCGTCGATCAGATCTGATTGCTGAAAAATTAGGTAGAGCTTCATTGATTCGCGAAGGAATCAATAAACCGTAGCGCTTATCTCGGCAACGGCGAGATAATTGCTCTTCTTAAGATCACCATAATAGGGTAATCTCAAGGAACGAACACGAGAGCTGCATATCTGACGAGTTCCTCTTCTTTATGCCGATAAACTCGATCCGATCTCTCCTCCTCCTTTCTATAATCCATGCACCTTCAGTCTTCAGTCCAGCAGGGCTTCGCCAATTCTCTCAAATTTTAGATCTAAAAAAATGAAGGCCCTGGGACTGTATTTATAGGCTCCAGGAAGTTCGGGTGGTTGAAACTGCACAAAAGCCCATTTTTAGGCCTGGAGACACCCCTGGGTGTCTCAGCGAGGCCGAGAAACCCTTGGGTCTCGGCCTGAGCGGAGACACCCTTAGGTGTCTCGGCCTTGGCCGAGACACCTTGGGGTGTCTCGCTTGTGCCGAGACACCTCGGGGTGTCTCAACTCAGGCTGAGACGCTCTTTTCCGTGCATTTGTCCGTTTTCGTCGTAATTTCTACGTCCGAACTCGGATTTGAGTGATTCAAAGTGCGTTGGAAAGCCGACAAGGAGATTTATAAGATCCGATGATTAGATCATTATGGATTAAACTGAGACACATACAGCGCTTCCCCTTTTGTAAGTGATGTGAGGCTCCCGATCAGTTCATATCCTCATTATTCTGAAACTCCGTTACTCCACGTAGTTCGTCAATCCACTTTATGCATTCATTGACATCAATCAAGCTTTTGTGAATTGGATAGTGACGTTCATCATCTTTTCTTAGTGCCGAGCCGTTCGTGGAGACCTATAGACAATTTTTGATGCCTACAAAGTAGAATGACAGGCTTGAGGTTGACTGTCTAGATCTTACATAGATGCCTAGGTCTTCAATATTACCATGGTGTTCGAGAGATGACTGTAGGAGTCAACCACATATTGTTCCTTGGGTTTATTCCTGAAAAGATATCAAAAGCTTTTTATTTAACCTAGGTTGAACACCTAGAACTTGCTAAAGTTGACTAGATTTTTCGCCTACGGAGGGCCGGCCTTGAGGGCTATTAGGTAGAATGACAAATCTAAAGTTGAGTTTCTAGGTCTTATGTAGATGACTAAATCTTCAATATTACGATGATGGTCGAGAGATGACTGTGGGAGTCGACCACATGTTATGCCTTGATTCAATGAATATTTTATTATTAATGAAAAAAATTGTACAATTTTTACTGTGAACATTTCCTCAAGCATATGTCTTGGGGACGCTAGAGCCCTTCTTTCTGAGTTTCTGAGACTTTTCAGTTAGTGAACTTCTAGTCAGGATTCGCCTAGGCTATGTGCAAGCCTTCCAGAGGGAGTTCTTGCGGATAGCATGATTCGACCCTAAAGGCTTGGGAAACTTTTGTGATGTAGCTACCAGTTGAGGGATTGGAGTTGCCCTTCCTGAGAAGACAATGGGCTGGCAGGCCCTGAGTTTGTCCTATAATCTCATCATCGGGAAGTTGGAGTTGTTTTCTCCAAAGAGACAAACTATGGTGGTTTTCTCGATAAAGCTTTAAAGGTAATGGGAGATCTTCCATCGTATGGATAGTTAACTAGACAAATACTCCCAGAATGTTGCTAAAGCTGCTGAGAGAGAGGACCATGTCGACTCTTCTCAGCCAAAACCGAACCCTTCTTAGGTTGAATGATATAACTCTAGACTCCGTTTAGCTTGGGTGATACAACTCCGGTATCTTCCAGAGTTAAATCTGTCGACCTCCTCCACAAGGTTTGACATGTTTTCTTGAAGAGGGGCAAATTACTCTTCTGAAGGACTGAGAGACGGTGAACTTTATTCTAGTCGGGCTTGAGTAATATGGCTTTGGTGTCGTTCTTTAAGGTGAGACGGACCAGACCATTGTTCAGAACTTGACACATCTTCTCAAGAAAAAAGAAGGCCCCACAGTGGGCACTAAATTATTGATGACTTGATGAGACAGCCAGTTCAGTCCTTGTTTGGATGTGTTTGTAGTTGTGGGATGATGAAAGGAGGCTACTTTCTTCCCCAACTTTGTGTCTAGTTCTTGAGTTGGGGGTGCTGGGCAATTTGCATGCACAAAAAATCATGAGCGGGCGGGGATCAGTTTCCCTATGGTACCCCCGACAACCAAGTTAGCTGATGACTTGAGTGGGGTAAATGAAGAACTATGTGTTCTTGCAATTATGTAATGTGTGAATTAGGGGGTTTCAAGATTGTGAACCGACCTCTTTATAAGGTTGAATAGCGACCATATTTATACCCAAGGGTATGAAGGTAGGTTGGTCACTTCGGCCGAGCACAGTAGAGCGATGGTGAAGTGCAGTGCTGGCAGTTGAGTCAGCTTCTGCTCTACTAGTGTCAGTTGGTGACAGGGGGCAAGATGACTTCGGCCTCGATCGGGGAGTGATTGGCGGCATGTCAGAGCCCACGTGGATTGACAAGTGACGTGAGCTAACGAGCCCTGAGGTGTGATGATGGTTGATCCATCTGTAGGTATGACGTGGATACGTTGTTAGTATGGATAAGCTTTGTAACAGAAGATACCCTTTAGCTTTGCTAAGAAGCAATGTCTCTTCGAGTCGTCCTTGCAAGACGTGGGATGTCTGGTCGAGTGGACTCTTGGCAAGTTATCTTCAACGAGAGGGTTGACTGGTACCGCCTTTCGAGTCGGCATGAAGAAACATCGAATCATCCAGCTGGCTTAGTCGGACTCTCTACTGGGCTTGGGCCTCCAAATTGATAAGGGTCTATATCGAGTTTTTACTAACCCATTGTTTGGCAATGAACCATATTCTATTGAATGGGATTACTATAACAGGCCTAATGTAGAAAATTACTTAATTTAATATGTAAAATCTCAATTACCTGCATTTCAAAATAGTGAAAGCAGCTCCTAACTATAGTTAAAATGTTTGCTTAATATAACATGTATGTTAGTTAAAATGTATAGTCTTGTCTTCATTTTAATATAATGTGAAACTTAATTTGATGTTTAGATGTATTACCTTTTACTTCAGGTTATATTGTTTATTGTTGCATTTGAATTGAGTTTTCTTAACTTTTAAGTTATATAACTCTGTAGACTGCACAATCAAATTTGTGTAACTTATTAGCTATTAAATTAGTTTTCTTAACTTGTTGGGCTAGTTGAATTGATTTAAAGTAAAGCATTTGTATCGTCAAATTTATGTCATATAATCTTCTTCAAACCAACAAAATGAAAGGAATAATGTTATGTCATATCAAACTTGACTTTATTTTTTATCAAAAAAAAAAAAAACTTGACTTTATTTGTTCATTTGTGCCACCCCACCCCACCCAAAAAATCCAAACCGTCATGGACTCCTCCCAGATAAGACATATTAAAGGAAATATTGGCCAACATATGGTAAATATATTAGCTAAATATCGCCCATAAATTGTTAAAAAGTGCGAAATTATATTGAGACAATATCTTTTTGCTGCAAGCTTTACAAAAGAATATATCAGCCAATATATTAGATATTAGTCGGTATATCAGATAAGTTAGGGATATTTAAAACAATGCATATGATCATAGGAGATTTGTAAGCTATTTCTTCCATGTAAATTTGCATGAAGATGAAAAATTCTACTCTTAAATAAAAGTGCAAATCTAGGGTTACTTACAAGGCTTCCATCTTCTAATAAAAACCGTCCCCACTGGACAAGGCTTTCTCTTGTGCGAACTCCAGCGTAATGTAGGTCGTTCTGAAATACTGCTACGCCACATCTGCATGAAGTAATTCGTTTCTCAGTTACAAATTAAATAAGAGGAATATAGTGTTAAGCTAGTTGCTTAGTGTTAAACCATATATAGCCCTCTAAACAAAATCGATTAAAGGATCCTTTTAAGTTTTGTTGCTCTCCTTGATTGAAATTCCTATTAGACTTATTAATAAATTCAGTTTAGTGCCTAGACACCTATGACAGAAAAGGGCATCCAGTTTTTTTAATTAATTAGCTTTCCTTCCTATCATTCAAATCTTTTTATTTCAATAAAACTAACCAATTTAATTGGCCAATCTAAACTAGTTTCATTTCATAATAAAAGGAAATTCTACAATATTGCGAAGTAAGCGGTTTCAATAATAATGGGACTTTGGACAAATAATATTATTTCATATTTTTCTAATCTATATCTATACTACATACTAAAATAAGGCCCTTCATATTGGCTGCCACTTGGTAACTTCTGGATTAATATTTTTTTGCCTTTTTTTCATTTATTATTGTTTGGAATTTTCTTTTTAACTAACTTCTCAACTATCTCTATACATAAAATGTAACCTCTTAGCCTCTCCAAGTTCATAATCCAATTAATACATTCCTTTAATCTATCAATAATGCATGCTAAGACAAAACATATCAATGCCACTTGACCTACCTTACAATTAACCCACTCTCTCAACCTTTATACTTAATCAGTCTCTATAACCCTCTTAAATTGCTTTCTAATTAAACCCCATGATCTGTACGAAATTGAAGACGCCTATAACTAACCGTTTCAATTTCCATCCCGGATTTCATGGTCAACATACGAAATCTAATCCCCTTTCTGCCCAATTATGTGCCATCTCTCACTTTCGCTATCATGTTTTTTTCCCCTGTTTTCTGCTAATTGGTAAATACTTTTCATGTGTATTATTCTCTTGCATATTTTTCTTACAGGAATTCGCATTTTTTTCCAGATACTTTGGGCCTCTACCTTTTGCTTTAGAAATGAAAATTTGTTCCTGATTCTAAAGGAAATCTCGTGCTTATTACATGCAAAATACGTAGCGGAATACTGTATGTATAATAATATTAAACATGTAGAGAGCATGGAATACAAAATAGGATCACCCTAATTAAATCTAACATGATCCCTATATTAAAGAGAGCATTCAAGACTTAGAAAGTCATACTTTCGAAGCGTGATTCAATGGAAGTTAGAACAACCCCTAGCTCTTGCTCCTTGTAGTAATAAATCTCCTCGTAGTGGATCTCCAAGTCTTCAAGTGAGCTTGATAAAATCGGAGTCTTCTTGAGACACAAGGCAAGATATTCACCCCGGGGTACTTAAAATCCTACTACTTCATCTTACTCAAAGATTGCTAGAGTTTAGTAAGAGGTAGATCTCTCTTCTTTTCTTTTATGGAAAACAACTATGAATAAACCATTTATTTTATTTTTTTCATTAACCAAGAAAGAAGAAAGAGAGCTTATATTTATAGAGGAAGCATATGTCATGACATGAATGACTCATCCTATGAGTCACACCATGAGTTATCAAAACAATGATTCTCTCATGAGTCATGCAATGACTCATCTCATGAGTCATGCAATGAGTCATGAAGAATCAAAACTATGTGCTAAAACCATGTTCCCAAGCCATACCACCTTAATGACTCATCTCATGACTCATTAATCAAGGTATAATAAAAGGCGTATTTCATAATTGAAAATACCATATCAATACAGTATTTCGTAATTTACCAATTATTAACTAGTAAGTCAGCATATGACCAAAAAGTCAATGACTTGACTAAAAGTTAACTTTATGGGAAAAATACTGAAATTTATTTCTTAAGCACATAGCATTCTGATTTTACCGATACATATAACCTTTTATGTGTATCCGGTGAAAATTATATATGCGTATCAATCATATGCATTACTCTATAAATTTGTATTTCATAGGATTTAAGTACGCGCTTAGTGTGACTTTAGTACCCAACTTAAGACTTGGCAGTGGATCATATCCACAAGTACAACAGAGGTGCTAGCTACACATGAAGACTATCCGGGTATAAGTTATGATAAATGTCTGCAAGATGCTTACCCGTCGATTCATGTACCATTCGGGTGGCAACCCGAGAAGCCTCTTCGTCGGTTGACTCAGTGATCGTTTGAATTGTCACATGTTCATTGGCCGCCAAAAGCCACCGGCATTGTAGGAAAGTCAGCTCTAACTTGCGCTCGACGCCCGGAAGATTAAATTTGACACCGGTACAACCAGTGATGTTCCAAAGCCATGCTCGAGCCCCATCCACTAAACCTCCGCGGGTCCGGAGATGTTAGTTTGGGTTCCCGATGTAAATTTGATCGTAACCAAATTGGTGAGCGAACCGACATGGCAAGTAGGGTTCTATGTCGCAATGATTTCGGACGCGGTAGATCACATAGCCCGGCCGAATATTAACCAACCAATCGAAGTAGCCGGAATCAAGGAAAGTCCGACCTGTACCCTGCTTCGAGCCACCATTCGCTGGCTCGCATGTATAGCGAGCTGTTTGGGCCAAATTTTGGGTGTTTTGGTCCCTCGGTGATCATTTTCAACATATACGGTATCCGTATTCATACTCTAATGGGTATATGAGTTTAAACTATTTCCCACCCTCGACGGGAAGTTTCTGGAGAATATCGTGTAGAATATTCTTAAGGATAACCCGGCGACCTTTGATGAGTATATGAGGCTAAACTAACTTCCAAAACTCCTAAGAGTATACGAGTATAAACTGGTTCTCTCCGCTTCAACGCAAACTTTTGACCAACGTCTGTCAAAGCGTTGTCAAATATGAATTCCCAACAAAGATAGTCAGCTCAACGTCAAATCAACGACACCATTTAGTTTCAATTCAAGACTTCGACAGCGGTCAGACGATAAACGCAGAACCGTAAAAAACTTCATCTATTCGACAGAACGTTGAATAGATTGAAGGTTGAAGAAGTCAAGAGATGAAGCCCATCAACAGGTCTTTCTGCAGATAAGGCCTATCACATCCAAAGTATTTCAGGCTCTTCTATAAAAGAAACGAGACTGAAACACTTTGGAGGGGGTATCTGTAGGGGTTAAAAATTGCCTATAAGACCTTAAACACAGTTCAAGACAAGGAAAAGACGATAAACGTTATTATCCAAGTCAAGAGAATTTATCCAACATCAGTAAGAGTATGAATTGGATCAGTAGAATGCACAAAGTATCGAAGCGATGAAGCATACGCAAAACAAGGGAACTGGAAGAATTACAAATCGCTAAAGTATCAAAAAAGTGAACGAAACATCACTCGGAGGTCCGTGTAGGCGCGAGTCACCAATTGGTGACTCGCACCTATGCGAGCCACCAAATGGTGGCTCGCATCTGCCACCAAATGGTGACTCGCATCCATGCGAGCCACTAAATGGTGACTCGTATAGTTCCGAGCCACCAAATGGTGACTCGCACAGTTCCGAGCCACCAGGACTCTTGCTGAACACAAAACCTCCCTAAACACGGATTTCGATGATTTTTAAGGATTCTTTCGTCCCAGAACCTCTCCAACTGCTTTGAGGTTATCCCTAAACACGTTTGGACAATTATAAACTACAGATGACGTTTAAACACAAATTCTTATTCAAAAGGACATCTCCAAAGGCCTATAAATAGAAGTCAAGGGTCTCCTTACAAGGGCATCTAGGATCTGAGATTAAGAAGGAGAGGTACTGTCAAATTGTCCAGTTAACCACGAATTTCAGAGGAGAATCATCAGAGCTTAGCGAATACTTTCATAAAGAAAGCCCCTTCGAAAGGTTTGTGATTCTTTCCCCTTCTTTCCTCCGGATTAAACTTGGTTTTAATCTCGAGAAGAGCCACAATCTCGCTTGGTCGTGATTGTCGCTTCCGCAATTGTTTCCTTCGTGAAACAAGAGCGTAATCATATTGTCTATCGGGTTGATCTGCGATGGTCCACGGACTAACGCGTCCCCGACAAAGGCAAAGATCCCACGTAAAGCAGCGGGAGATAAACTACTGCTGCGTTTTGTTTGATAAAGTTATAATCTTTATTTTTCGTTGTAAGGAGATCTTATAAAAAGATCAACTTTTCTTTCAGTTTGAACTTGTAATCGATAAACGGTGTAACAGGTTCTGAAAACAATGGAAAAGGAAACTTTTGACACAAACAATGATGTCTTATTTTAACACTTCATCGACTAGGAATATTTTAGAATATACGTTAGCGACAAATCAGATCTCTTCATTACGATCATATCCAAAATGTCTGATAGTCTAGTATCATTCTAAGAACTTTATCTATATTTAAAAATACCAGATAAATCTAAGAAAAATAGCATACTATTATTTTGAACAAGGATGTTATATTCATATAGGTCCTGTTATAATATACAATTATTGCTTGCAGGACACCTATATCTAACAAATTCAGCCTTTGATATCTTCGTCATATACTGGTTATGACACCTCTGGTTTGGAGCAAGTACCCTTTTGACTTTTTATATAGTTCTAACATTATTAAACTCATCATTGGTTATTTTGCTTCAAATGTTTCCCTTTTTGTTTTTTTCCTTTGATTTAAATAAATTTTATCATATGAAAACTAGCTTATTCTCTTCATATACCAACCCTTGTGAATCTTTTTATGAATTCCCCAACTTATTTCAAACATGTATGACTTTACAAACCTTTTTTCTCCCCGCATTTGTCTCCTACATATATTTATATTTTTTTCTAACTTTTAGTGGAAACATTAATGTGTTTTATTTATTGAACCTTCTATTTTTTTACATTTTCTACTCATGAAGAATTCATCAAAGCTTGATCAACTTATCAAATATTTTGTTGTAGAATATAGTGAAGAAACCACGAGAAAATTTGGCGAAGAACAGGTTTTGGGACGCATGAGTCATGTTTGGAGCTGCGCGGTCAACCGCGGCGCAAGGCCGGTCGACCGCGAACATGCACAGGCTCAGTCATGAGTCTGGATTTATCACGATCAACCGCCAGACCCTGTAGTTAGTTTTGGGCTCTGTCGGTTGATGCGGTCGACCGTCGCGATCGACCACCAGACCTGTAATGAATTACTGGGTTATGTTTGATGGTCGCGGTCGACCGCGTAGCGGGTCACGCCCATATTGTGTTTCCTGTTCTTATTGAGTTTGGTGTTTACTATAAATACCAACATACGTTTCTAGGGTTTCTTGGGCTTGGATTTGGGATATTTGGAGCACAAAAAAGATGTATTTTCTGAGCTATTTGTTTAGGGTTTGTTTGGAGAGATTAAGAGATTTGTGGTGAGATTAGTTTATTCCTTCGAGTGGTTTTTAATCTCAATTTGTACTCTTCATCTCTATTAGTGAAAACCCCATCCCCTTCTTTCCCCATGGACGTAGGCAACTTGTCGAACCATGTTAAAATTAGTTGTTTGAGTTTGTGGCATTGATTTCATTGGTTTGACCTTTATCTCGGCGTTTGGTATTTTGGTTTTCTCAAAGCATGTCGGTTGGTTGTTTGGCTTTCGCAAAGCACGCGCACCCAACAAGTGGTATCAGAGCTCGGGCTACGCTTGGGCAATTTGGAGGAGTAGATCGCTTTGGAAGTTAAACTAGGGCTTCATTTGGTGATACAGGTGGGATCTTTTTGGTAAAGAATCTATCTTTTTCAGTTTGGATTTATTCCTCATTTGTTCCATATTTGTTTTGGTGCTTTGAGAAAGATGGTCAAGAAATAAGGAGTTGTGGAGGGTACTTCTGGCGTGAAGATCGTCCAAAGTTTGAATATCCACTCGATGAAGATTAACATAGAGAAATTTAATGGCACAAACAATTTCGGACTTTGGTGATGCGAAGTCTTGGATGCACTCAATGCACAAAATTTAGAAGATATTTTGGAGTTGGACGGGAAACCGGACGACATTGATGAGAATGTTTGGAAAAAGATGAATAGAACGACGTGTGGTGTGATTAGGTCTTGTCTCACTCAAGATCTAAAATATGATGTGATCAATAAGACTTCGGCTAAGAAGATTTGGGAGATCCTAGAGGGAAAGTATTTGACCAAGAATGTAGAGAACCACTGGCATTTAAAGAGGAGGCTTTATCGCTTCCAATTAAAGAAGGGGACCTTCATTGGTGATCACATGAACCACTACACGAATCTTCTTATGGATTTGGCCAATATAGATGTTATGATTGAAGATGAGGACAAGTCGTTGTTGTTGTTGAGTTCCTTGCTTGACGAGGAATATGAGACATTCGTTCTTACTCTTATTAATGGAAAGACATCTCTTTCATATAGTGAGGTCACCACTGCACTTGTGAATTATTAGCTTCAAAAGAAGGATAAGGAGACTTCAGTTGAGACGGTAGCGGAGGCATTAGTCGCAGGAGCAAAGAGTCCAAACTGTGGTAGGAGGTCGTAGTCTAGAGGGGCACATATTGGAATTCGTAGCAATCAGTGTGCCTTTTGTAAAGAAGATGGATATTAGAAAGCCGAATGTCCAAAGTTGGTTGATCGAGCCGGGAAGAATAAGGGAAAAGTTATTCAAGCTTCAGAGGTAAATGTTGTCGAGACTAGTGGCAACAATTCAATTTTGGATTCTTCGGGCTACTCGTTATCTGCACTGCCGTCAGTTTGTGTTATCGACTCTACAGAGTGGATATTTGATTCGGATGCTACATACCACATTTGCCCTAGGAGGGATTGGTTTTTTAGCTTTCAGGAGTTGGAAAGAGGGGATGTCATGCTCATGGGTAATGATCATGAATGCCCTATTGGTGGTATTAGTACCGTTCATATTCAGATGAGTGACGGAGTGATTCGAGTGTTGGTTGGAGTGAGGTTCGTTCCTCGGTTGAAGAAGAACATCATTTCACTTGGAGCTTTGGAAGCAGCAGGCTATAGGATGACCTTGGCGGATGCACGTTTAAAGGTAACATTTGGGTCCATGATTGTGATGAAGGGTGTTAAGAGGAATAATTTATATTATTTGATTGGGAGCACGATGTTGGATAGAGAGCTGACGACTTCTTTGGATTTGGCTAGACTATGACATTTGTTGAAGCTGGGTTATTTGATTGGTTATGCCGTGCATTGGTTGTTAAGGAGTGTTTTGACCTGTAGTTTGAAGTCCTTTGAGCATGTTGGTATGAGCATGAAGACCGAGGTGGAGTTTTACACTTCTATCCATCAATCGAAGGGTCTTTTAGGTTGTATTCAGTCAGGCATTTGGAGGCCTTCCAAGAAGGCATCATTGGGAGGTAATCAGTATTTGGTTTCTGTAGTTGGTGATTGTTCTAGGCATTATTGGGTCATGACCAGTTCCCGTTGGTGTAAAGACCTAGAATTCAACAACAATTGGAAGAAGTGTATTGGCAGAAAGGTAACCCATCGTTCTAGCTTTGGTAGGGGTCCTTTCTTGCATTTGTGCCAAGCTCATGGAAATTTGAGACACTTCATTGGTGTGGAGACATTAGGGCAACGAGATAAGATAACAGTTGTGATTGGTCGTTCCTTTCTGGAGGAGGATCAGCGTTGGTTGTCGAGCATTGGCTTAGGTTTTGGAGCTTCGATATATTTGGGTCATCTTAGTCATAGGTTGCCGACTACTGCATTTGGAGTTATTAGATCTAGTGGAGCTGCTTTAGATTTTGGTTGGCATTGGATACTTGGTTACCCAGTATTTGGTCACATCAAGGATGTGAGATTTGATCCGATTGCACGTTTAGGATTCAGAGGCTCGTTTGATTATCGTTTTGGAGCTTCTGATTTTGTTCTGAGTAGGTATGTTACTTTTGACTCTCGGCAGGGAGAGTGTTGATCAAATCGTTTGGATGTCGCAGCAGATGGAGGGTGATGCTTCTTCACGTTGGGTGGAGCTTACTCCACATACTCCAGATCATACTGCATCGTTTGAGATTCCAGCTGAGGTAACACAGATTGGGGATTATTTGGATTTGGATACAGATGATGAGTTGGTTTTGGATTCGATTACAACCGGTGGACTTATTTTGGATACGACCATTGGTTTACCTCAGATGGAGGTGTTTGATTTGTGTCAATTTGGGGCCATTGGGAGCGCTATCAGTTGTAGATCATTTGGTGATAATGGTGAAGAGTTGCGGACTTTTCTATTTGTTTGAGGGTCTTTGGAGGCCGTTTGGGTGAACTACATGAAGGCTTGATTCCTTAGGAAAAAGGATATGTAGATAGTCATTTATGATGCAGCCGATTTGGTTAGTAGATACCGACGTTTGGGAGAGTGTTCGCACTCCCGTTTGGGTCTCGACTTATTGTGGATTGAGTCCGTTGTTGTGAATCATTTCACTTTGTACTGGACGCAACAAGTTGGGCATTTGATTTGGTTGGTGTCAGCTCAGTTTTGGAAAAACTTCACCAATGTGGAGAATTAAAGAAACTGCAAGAAAATTTGGCGAAGAACAGGTTTTGGGACGCAGGAGTCATGTTTGGAGCTGCGTGGGCGACCGCGGCGCAAGGCCGGTCGACCGCCAATGTGCACAGGCTCAGGCATGAGTCTGGATTTGGCGCGGTCGATCGTCGCGGTCGACCGCCAGACCCTGTAGTCGATTTTGGGCTCTGTCATTTGATTCGGTCGACCGCCAGACCCTATAATAAATTATTGAGTTCTGTTTGATGGTCGTAGTCGACCGTGACGGTCGACCGCGTAGCAGGTCAGGCCCATATTGTGTTTCCTGGTCTTATTGCGCTTGGTGTTTACTATAAATACCAACATACGTTTCTAGGTTTCTTAGGCTTGGATTTGGGATATTTGGAGCACAGAAAAGAGGTATTTTTGAGCTATTTGTTTAGGATTTGTTTGGAGAGATTAAGAGCTTTGTGGTGAGATTAGTTTGTTCATTCGAGTGATTTATAATCTCAATTTGTACTCTTCTTCTCTATTAGTGAAAACTCCATCCCCTTCTTGCCCCATGGACGTAGGCAACTTGCTGAACCACGTTAAAATTGGTTGTTTGAGTTTGTGGCATTGATTTTATTGGTTTGGCCTTTATATCGGCGTTTGGTATTTTGGTTTTCTCGAAGCACGTCGGTTGGTTGTTTGGCTTCCGCAGAGCACGCGCACCCAACATATAGTTCATTACATGAACATGGAAGTTGCACCATCCAGAGCAATTCATTCGAAGGAGTGATCTTGTAGACATTTCTTTAGGCCACAATTCCAGATTTCATCAAATATCCTGATATTTTGTGATGTCTTAAAATTACCTATTTAAGAATATCTTCTGCATTTGCCAAATTCTAGCTTTTCTACAACTAAATTACATCAATTTTTTTTTCAAAAAATTTGAAAGAAAAAAACCCCTGCAGCATGGCGGAAGATAACACTAGTCATAAACTAAAGTACACCAAATATGGGAAACTCCTCATGCTTGTTTTCACAATATGCTAGTTACAAAAATAAATTAAGTTTCTCAAAACTGTGGTCAACTTTCTTGTCTAGTATGAACAGGTCGTTCCCATGCAAATAACTTTGATAAACTATGGATTTAGTTCTTGACATACGAATAAACGTTTGTTGCAGGAAAGAGATTAAAACGAAGAGAAGATTAATATTTGCGATTGTATACCTGATGATTGAGATTTTTCTGAAGAGGATTATGGAACGCTGGTTCTTTGTAGATGTCGATACAATCATGACTGATGATTGAGATTTTTCTGAAGAGGATTATGGAACGCTGGTTCTTTGTAGATGTCGATACAATCATGATGTCCCCTTTGAGACTACAAAAAGAGGATTATGGAACGCTGGTTCTTTGTAGATGTCGATACAATCATGATGTCCCCTTTGAGACTACAAACATTGAGAAGCTTCATTATTAGTGTATATTTTAGAAAATGAATATCAGTAAATAATATGATGTCTAATGAAACCATATTAGGTTGGATGCACATTGGCATTGTAAATAAACATATGCACTCAAACATTTCAGCGGTAGTCATTATATTTCGATACAGTAGGAAATTGGTGTTAACAGCATTCATGAATTTATACAATTTTTTGTTACTATGATACACACACTTTTTTTGGTAAATGAACATTTTCATTAACCAGTGAACGTTGAAGTACAAGACCACCCAGGAGTAACAGGGAAACAATAAAAATAAACACATCTACAAGCTCTCAACCCAGATTTTGACTTAAGCAAGAACCTGCATGCTAATTACACGAACTAATAAATCTACTTTAATCAAAATGAACTATACCATTAACTCTTCTCCCTTCACTCCCATAATACTGTGATACACCTTTGGTATCGCTCTTCAGTAGTTTCTTATGCATTTCCAAAATGAAAGATGTAATATTTCCTATTTTTCTTGCTTAGTTGTGTTTAAGTTTTATTAAATATGTATATAAGAAATGTATTTATTTTTTAATAATAGAACTAATATTTCGATATAATGTTAAATTAATATTAAATCATTACGGATGCAACGACAAAGGCCAAAAGACATACTAGAGACATTAATAAAAAAAAGATGTTTGCAGTTGAACGCGAAAATGAGCATTATACACTACCACAAAATAAGTATACGGGGACGGTTATTTGGGGACGGTTTAAAACCGTCCCCTTAGCTGTCTAAGGAAACGGTTTTGTGACGGTTTCACCTGTCACAATAGAGTCTAAAACAACGTTTTAAAATAAAACGTTGGGGTTGAATTAGTTTTGCTAATAAATTATGTAATGGGCTAAAGGGACGGTCCCCAAATTTTCATTTTTGGTTTTTAGAACCAGCGCCACACTTTCCCCCCATCAAAACAAATCACCGCTCTAGGGTTTTTCTCGTGTCGAACTCTTTTTCGTCCGCCAGCTCTCCTCGACGAAGCAAAGCCTGCCGCCTCTCCTTCACTCATGCTCGTCCTGGACGATCTCCACCTCGCGTTTCCCTCCTCCCCTTGGCTCCTTCACTTCCCCTCATTCGACACCTCCGCTTGTTCGCCGACCATCCCAACCTCGTCAGCCACCTCTCCTCAATTCGCCGTTGTCCACTGCCTCCCCTCACGACCTCGCCGTCTTCGAGGACCGCCGCCGAGACCTCCACACGACTCAGAAAAAAGGTATTGATCTCATTTTCTCCTCCTATTTCCCTTGTGTATTCTTTGCTCAGCTGTTGCATTTCTTTACTTCGATTTTGAGTATATTTATCAATTAAGCCTCTATATTGAGTATTTTATCAATTTTCTAGGTTTCTGCGATGAACCCCTTTGATTTTCTTGATTATATTTCGCAGCGTATGAATTTGGAGACATCTTGAACCCTAGTTTTGGAATATCCTGCATTTAGTGTAATTTTTCGATAAAATTGTTTAGTTAATTGTTACAATGTCTAATTTTCCCCTAAATTTGAGTATTTGCTGGTGTTTGGTGGTTGTTAGGTGAGGATTGAAGAGGAGTTCACTGGATTGTACATGTTATTTTGTTCAAAATGATAGATCTTTTGTCACTGAGAGCCCTGGCATCAATAATTTGGGGCTTGTCGGAGGGGTGATTTTGAAATTTTGCTTCTTGTCCAGGAGGGAGCTTAGCCTAGACAAGGATGTGTACATGTACAGGTACACACTAATTAGCTTTTAATTAGACTTCAGAACTTTATTAATCAAATAACTGACTGTGTACAAACGTTTCTCAAGGTTTTATCTGATTATTTTGTTAATTTTGTGCCAATTTGAGACCCTTTTTCCAGATTCATGTAATTCTTGTTTGCACACCTATTTTGTTATTAAAATCATCTTCGTTATCTTGTGGGCATTGGCTGCTTTGTTTGCACACCTAGGTCAAATGATGGTCCAGAAACGTTCATATTGCTGATCTGTGATTGCCGTTTTTCCAGAAATGGTGGGAACTAAAATTCTTTGTCAAATTTTAAGGTAGAAAAGAACTTTTTGGCTGAATGGGGATTAAGCCTTTGTTCATAACATATTCCACATAGAACATTTCGTCAATTAGGTTCTTGCTGCTCCTCATGTTGGCTACACAACCCTCTTTTCTTAATTTGTGTTAAAAAAAAGAGCAGCAGATCTTAATGATTCCAAGTACTAATCATGTCTTCTATATTCAAAAACAATTTCATTTGACTTCTACACAATTTCTTAAAAAGGGAATGAGTATTCTTACTTTCCGTCCCTGGATAGCACCTTCCCAAAGAAAATAAATTCCAATATTGCTGGAATCTAATCAATTAAGCGAAAAATCATAGCCTGCCCACTTTCTGCTAGTGATGGGGTCTTGGGATATTTTTCCAGGATCTCATGGTTAGTTCTCTGTCTTCCTCAAATTAGTTTAGTTTGGTTTGTAGATGCAAGCATTAACTAAATTATTTAGGGAATTTTTTAAAAGTAAATCCTTCGTCTTTATTTTTTCAAAAAGTCAGTTTCATTATTAAACACAATAAAACCATTTCATCTATGCAAAAGAGTGTTTCTACTTTGTGGTTCTCTAAGTTGTCATCATTTTTTCAACAGCGTTTTTAAAAATAGAAAAAAATAAATTCCATTAAAAATTCAGAATAACATCGTATGCTAATTGTTTTATGTGAACTGATAATGGTCATTTTCTGTAAAACAGGACATAGAAGAAGTAGTTTTTAAATTATTTTATTAATTGTTTAATTTCATAATGTTGCTAGATTATAAGATCACACCAAAATTCAGGGGGGGATCCTATGGAGGGTGATCGACTCCTCCGCTTGTTCGCCGACCATCCCAACCTCGTCAGCCACCTCTCCTCAATTCGCCGTTGTCCACTGCCTCCCCTCACGACCTCGCCGTCTTCGAGGACCGCCGCCGAGACCTCCACACGACTCAGAAAAAAGGTATTGATCTCATTTTCTCCTCCTATTTCCCTTGTGTATTCTTTGCTCAGCTGTTGCATTTCTTTACTTCGATTTTGAGTATATTTATCAATTAAGCCTCTATATTGAGTATTTTATCAATTTTCTAGGTTTCTCCGATGAATCCCTTTGATTTTCTTGATTATATTTCGCAGCGTATGAATTTGGAGACATCTTGAACCCTAGTTTTGGAATATCCTGCATTTAGTGTAATTTTTCGATAAAATTGTTTAGTTAATTGTTACAATGTCTAATTTTCCCCTAAATTTGAGTATTTGCTGGTGTTTGGTGGTTGTTAGGTGAGGATTGAAGAGGAGTTCACTGGATTGTACATGTTATTTTGTTCAAAATGATAGATCTTTTGTCACTGAGAGCCCTGGCATCAATAATTTGGGGCTTGTCGGAGGGGTGATTTTGAAATTTTGCTTCTTGTCCAGGAGGGAGCTTAGCCTAGACAAGGATGTGTACATGTACAGGTACACACTAATTAGCTTTTAATTAGACTTCAGAACTTTATTAATCAAATAACTGACTGTGTACAAACGTTTCTCAAGGTTTTATCTGATTATTTTGTTAATTTTGTGCCAATTTGAGACCCTTTTTCCAGATTCATGTAATTCTTGTTTGCACACCTATTTTGTTATTAAAATCATCTTCGTTATCTTGTGGGCATTGGCTGCTTTGTTTGCACACCTAGGTCAAATGATGGTCCAGAAACGTTCATATTGCTGATCTGTGATTGCCGTTTTTCCAGAAATGGTGGGAACTAAAATTCTTTGTCAAATTTTAAGGTAGAAAAGAACTTTTTGGCTGAATGGGGATTAAGCCTTTATTCATAACATATTCCACATACCCTTAGCTATCTAAGAAAACGGTTTTGTGACGGTTTTACCCGTCACAATAGAGTCTAAGACAACGCTTTAAAATAAAACGTTGGGGTTGAATTAGTTTTTCTAATAAATTATGTAATGGGCTAAAGGGACGGTCCCCAATTTTCATTTTTGGTTTTTAGAACGAGCACCACACTTTCCCCCATCAAAACAAATCACCGCTCTAGGGTTTTTCTCGTGTCGAACTCTTTTTCGTCCGCCAGCTCTCCTCGACGAAGCAAAGCCTGCCGCCTCTCCTTCACTCATGCTCGTCCTGGACGATCTCCACCTCGCGTTTCCCTCCTCCCCTTGGCTCCTTCACTTCCCCTCATTCGACACCTCCGCTTGTTCGCCGACCATCCCAACCTCGTCAGCCACCTCTCCTCAATTCGCTGTTGTCCACCGCCTCCCCTCACGTCCTCCCCGTCTTCAAGGACCGCCGCCGAGACCTCCACACGACTCAGAAAAAAGGTATTGATCTCATTTTCTCCTCCTATTTCCCTTGTATATTCTTTGCTCAGCTGTTGCATTTCTTTACTTCGATTTTGAGTATATTTAGCAATTAAGCCTCTATATTGAGCATTTTATCAATTTTCTAGGGTTTCTGCGATGAATCCCTTTGATTTTCTTGATTATATGTCGCAGCGTATGAATTTAGAGACATCTTGAACCCTAGTTTTGGAATATCCTGCATTTAGTGTAATTTTTCGATAAAATTGTTTAGTTAATTGTTACAATGTCTAATTTTCCCCTAAATTTGAGTATTTGCTGGTGTTTGGTGGTTGTTAGGTGAGGATTGAAGAGGAGTTCACTGGATTGTACATGTTATTCTGTTCAAAATGATAGATCTTTTGTCACTGAGAGCCCTGGCATCAGTAATTTGGGGCTTGTCGGAGGGGGGATTTTGAAATTTTGCTTCTTGTCCAGGAGGGAGCTTAGCCTAGACAAGGATGTGTACATGTACAGGTACACACTAATTAGCTTTTAATTAGACTTCAGAACTTTATTAATCAAATAACTGACTGTGTACAAACGTTTCGACGATTATATAGAGTAGTTTTACCCTTCCTAAAAGGATGCAACGCATATTATAGTTTAGCTGATTTCTTCGTATCTTATACAGAGTTAGGGTTCGACGATTCTGAGCCGGTACTGCCTTCTTGATTAATGTTGACCGAATCAGAGGTTGTTTCATCTTTGGACTCTGCTTCTGTCATCACAACTTCATAATTTTTACTAGCATTTTCATCATTTGACGCACTGTTTTCATTAAATGTAGTCGCTTCACTAGGAGTCTCATCCTTGGACTCTAGTTTTGCCTTTTCCGACTTTTAACATTTTTACTAATGTTTTTGACATTTGAGGCACTATCTTCATGAGATGCAGCTGCCTCACTAGGAGTTTGGTTTGTTGATAAATCTGGATTATTTTGATCGTTGTTCAGCATTGAATCAATGGCTACCTCTTCAGATTTTTCAGACTTCCCCTCTTTGAGGCACTGTTTCCCTGACATCGAACTTCCTCCACTATAGAATTCTCTTTATTTTCTGAAAATTCTACATGTTCATTTTGATTACTCACTGAGGAACTGCCACCTTCATCACCAGACTTTGAATCATTCTCTGCCAACGATATTACTAGTGGTGGTTTCAGCATTAAAGAATTGAGTTACCTTGCTCATCAGTTGTTTCAGCATTAATTTTTTGTTTCTGCACATTTCATAGCCAATCAATTAATTTCTCTAAACAGTATATGGCTCATAGCATGCTCATGATTTTATTGATCAAAAATTTAATTAGCAGCCAACAGAGTGTAACTTAGTTTAAATATGTAGGTGCTTTTGCGGATGCTTCCAAACTATCACCATCATGTGCGCACATATGAGAATACACTTAAAACTAAATTCTTTGGTTTGCACAGAGTGATACCCTCTAGTGGTCAAAAGGTAATGCCCAGTTGTTTCTATTCAATATATCCTTAATTCAATTATTCTGTGCACTTGTTTATAATTTGTTCTACTTGTTTTGGGGCTTTTATATAGACTTCTATATGATAATCAGATCTTATGAATTCTCCATTGCAGTTCAGGTTCTTCATAATGAGAAACATGTTTTGTACGGATCCATAGAAGGTTTGACTTGAAAGGTTTGACTTGAAAGAGTGATGCCTATTGACTCAGTACATTGGGTTTAACCAGGAATTTTTATGGATATTCTGGTAATTGTATTCAATTGTTTGTATGTAGTAAAGTTATAATTCACGTTTGCATTATTAACTATACTGCTTATTTATATAAGTAATGGAAACCAATGGATAGCTACAGCATACAAAATAGCGATGCAAACATTCACGGTGAACATACTTTATCTTCGATGAACATTTATCACATTTGATAGATTCGGACTTCAGAGGCGGCCAGCCATATTATGTCACCATCGAAAACTAATAAAAAATTACATACCATACACAAGATTTGTTCTGAAATCATTTTGTCACCACCAATTTTGGTATCCATAACAGTCTCAAATTTGTCAGCTTGAAACCTTACCCGCCTCTTGAATTATCAAATACAGTTCTAGAGATAAAAGAATATTAGTTAATTATTAATGATACCGATAAGTAGGCTTTAGAGTCTTAACTTTTCCTAACTTGAGAGATAACTAGCTAGTGGCCACGTACAGAAAGATGAAAAGGACTTTCATGTCCATGTTCTCCCTATCTATTTTTGCATAGGAAACTTCCTTTTGGGACCTCAAAGAAATGGAGCTGGTCAACCAGTAAAACTGATTTCTGAGAAATTTCTGGGTCTCAGCTAAAGGAGGCTATAGGATTGAGAATGATCAACAAAGATGTGACACTTCCTTGATATATATGATCAAGCATTTGCACCTGTACAGGTTTTTAGCCTTTTGGAGTACAAAATTTGCTAAGTTGAGAGGCGTGGAGAGGTTTCCCATAACATCTGGATTTTGAGGCAGATGATTTCTTGCTAAGCCTGAAAATAGCCTGGTTTTAGAGTATAAAAGTTGTATCCTTCTGGTAGTAGGCAACTCATGTTCAGGTTTTCAGAATTCTAAACTGAAGTTAGATGCATACAGATGTTTTGCAACCCTGAAGCCTGTTGATTTGTACTCTTATTATAATTTCCTTTTTTTCGGTTTTTTTTTTTTTTTTTTTTGCTTTGCTTTGCGGGGACCAGAACTCTAAGATGACTCGTAGGCTGAAATACCACGCAACAACATACAAAATTTCTATAAGTAAAGGAAACAAAATTTTGGACCTGCCATAATCAAACATTCACATTCTGCTGGTAGAATGCAATATAGCTACAACAACAAACGTTGAATTGTAGACTCTACAACAAGTTTTAATGCAGCAAGTTTTAACTTTTGTTCCTTTCATGATTTTATTAGAGGATTATTTGGTTGTGTGATGTGGCACATGTAGAGCCAGATTTGTCTCAAACAATTAGGAATTATGACGGACCTTTATCCTTCTACCATTTGTGTCTCTTCTATTCTACTTGTGCATACTCTTAATTTCATTATATACCTAAATATGATCGTCATGCAATAAGTTATGACTCTAAAGAGACACATACAGTCCATTTCATTCTACTTGTGCTTACTCATCTTTTTATCTTGATGTACGCAGGAAAACATCTGAAGATCCATGTTTGTCGCTCTTTGGGGGATTTATTTGTTGTGAAGATTTAGAACTTAATCGTCTCAATAGAGACATTTTGACCTTTTGATTAAGTAGTAGCTCTTTGTTTTAATCATGGAGGATTTGTGATATGTGCTTAATTTGGTAAGTTTGTGTGTAAAACTTGTGAAGAATTATCTCAATCCTATTGCTATAATATTGTTCTTCGTTGTAATGAATTGTTCATTATATTAAGGCTAAAGTTTGGTTAGTTTGTGTGTAAAACTTGGACTATTGTTTCTTTGTATGTGATGGACTGATGTGTGATATCTGGGTGATTTATTTTGATCGGTAAAAAATGAAAACCGACCCCTTTGGTATAAAAATCGTCCCCATAGATCACAAACAAAACTGTTCCCATAGACAGTATAACCGTCCTCTTAGGTCAAGCTCGAAACCGTCCCCCTTGGTATCGCAACCGTCCCCATAGAAACCGTTCCCCTTGCTATCAAATTGTTCCCATTGCTTAGAACCTAAAAACCGTTCCCCTTGCTATCAAACCGTACCCGTTGCTTAGAACCTAAAAATCGTTCCCCTTGATATACAACCGTTCCACTTGCTCTAAACTAAGAACCGACCCCTTAGCACAACCGTTCCCTTATGGTACTGTTGGGGACAGTTTACAAATCGTTGCACTAGGAGCATAAACCGTCCCATTAGACCTACGGGCACGGCTGCAAACGAGACGGATGTAAAACCGTCCCCATAGGCCTAGTGTGACGGTTTCCATGCCTAGGGTGACGGTTCACAACCGTCCCTATAGGCCTCAAATGTGGTAGTGATAGTTAGCTGACATTGGATCACTGTGTAAAAATTCCAACAAATAGAATACCTGAACTTTAACGGGATATCCTCTGCCCTCTACTTGGAAGATTACCAGTAGCAAAATCCAGATAATTATGGAATTTCTCAAACCCATGGATCCCTAGTGAAAATGGAGCTGGAAAAGAAAATAAGATGGTCCAGAAATTAGAGCTTTTGAAAGAAAAAATATTATTTTCAAGGAGAAGGGGGAAAAAAGGTTTAAGAAAATGCAACATGATAAAAACTTTGAAAATATACACATTTTGAATGTCAATTAAAATTTAACTATCAGTCCTGCATATCCTTCATATTTTCAACTTAAAACCTAAAATCTCCATATTTTGAAATTAGTCTGTAAATCTTTAAGTATTTTGAAATTAGTCCCCTGAATCTTTATAATTTGAAATTAGCCTCCAAATATGTTACTTGTTTTGAAGTTAATTAGTCTGTCTGATTACCACCTATTTGAAATATTTGTGGGGCTAATTTCACAATATGAAGGTATAGGGCCCAATCCGATACACTTAAAAATTATAGGGACTACTTCAAATTATGATGATTTTTGGGGTAATTTCTAAATATGAAAGATATGGGGGACCAACGTCAAAAATAACCGTGACTATTTTTCGTTTATAACATCGCTTAGGCAGATTAAGTGCAAAAATCAAAACACTTTGGAAGCTTGTAGAATCCCCAACTTTTTTTCGGGTTTTTTTTTTTTTTTTTTTGGTGGGGGGGGGGGGGGGGGGGGGCGGTTGGAATTTATCATATATGTGTATGTATATAGTCTCCATTAATACCGAAAACCTTTGATACCTACATATTTATTCCCCAAATCCCAATATTTGCAAATATAGCCAATAAATCACATGAACTGAGTTAGTGTGCCCCTCTTATATAAAGGTGTGATAAATCAAACTATACAAAGGTAGAATTGTAAATTTAACTCATCCTCCTCGCTCTCTTTCTGCTTCGTGATTTCTAGCAAAACATCAAAATTCTTTGCAGCCCTTCTCACCCTCTCATGTTTGGAATATAGTAGTTGGACTGGCAATAAAGTGATTTCTAGCTTAAAGAGGTGTTTGGTGAAAAAAAGGAAAAAGTAAGAAAGCAAAAGCTAAGCACAACTTATAAACGTAACCTGAGAGCTAAAATAAATAATATATGTGCGCAAACTAGAAGAATCCAAAATGTGGCATGGTATTTAACACCATAAATTGGAGTTTTTTTAAGGAAAT